AGTAATTGTTTCATATCAGTTAATGCAAGAAGTAATTGTTTCATAACACTTGATGAAAAAAGTAATTGTTTCATATCAGTTAATGAAATAGTAATTGTTTCATATCAGTTAATGAGAAATGTAATTGTTTTATATCAGTTAATGAAAAAGTAATTGTTTTATATCAGTTAATGAAAGAAGTAATTGTTTCATAGCAGTTAATTTTAAAATGTAATTGTTTTATATCAGTTAATGAAAAAGTAATTGTTTTATATCAGTTAATGAAAGAAGTAATTGTTTCATAGCAGTTAATGTAAAAAGTAATTGTTTTATATCAGTTAATGAAAAAGCAATTGTTTCATAACACTTGATGAAAAAAGTAATTGTTTCATAACAGTTAATGAAAAAAGTAATTGTTTCATATCAGTTAATGAAAAAGTAATTGTTTCATTACAATATGCGGTTTTATTGAACGGCAATAGATGTGGGTTGGAAAATTATTACTGAACATGGGGCTTAATTTTATGTTTACTTTGAAAATTGTGTCATGCTTATATCTTTAGATGTCAATGAAATATTCATTTACAAACTTTCCCCCACTTATTACTAGCAAGAGGGTGATGCAGTGTCACTAGAAACCCAAAATCCTGTTTGAAAATAGACTTCTTAAATCCTGTCCTTATGTGTAGACCCTTCATTTTTAGAACTTGTCCAATATATGCTCACTCGAAAATAAATCTTTGGATACTTACAATATCTTGAATAATTGCTGAAGTGAATATGTGAGTCATCTTGCTTTCTGTTCTTAAAACAACAATGATTTCATACAAAGTTCATAAGAGATGCTTTAGACTTGAGAGACAAAGTGGAATATTAATATCCTTCACATATTATTTGTGTATATTGTCATATAATATGAAATGTGAGGAATTATATTTATGTTATAACAGAATTCAATTTTCTTTACAAATGAAAACTGAAATCTGATTAGAAAAACTGAAAGTAATGATAATATAAACATCAATCAATCCTGTTATCCTGGATATATTCTTTGTTTGTGTCATGTACACTATTGTATTGCCATAATCAAATAATGACATAGTACTATTTAGTGTTTAAGGGGTTAACTTAACAGTATGAACCCCACCCAAGCCCTCCTTTTTCTTGACTCCTTCCCCTGAGTGATAACATTGTTTATTTTTCTAATAAATGAAGTCACAAAGACACACAGACATCATGTATCACCCATCTCATAGACATTTCCTGCCCTAGGCCATAGCCATGATCAGTTGAATAAATAATGTTGGCTGTCAATCATGACCGGTCAGGTCAAGAGTGGGTGTGTCCACCAACTTGTCCCCGTCAGCCGGCACATATCTCACTTCCTTCTACCTTTTGTCCAGCTTATAACAGTGCAATAGAAAGATCAGGTGACTGATGGTTCAATACCATCTTTATAGAGCATCTATACAGCTAGCTGTTTGTGTAAGTAATTTTTACAACATTCCATTTAATGTATAAGTTGATGTATGAAATTGCTCTTACAAACAGATTTGTCACGATTCCTTATCAGGTGATCATGAGTTGTTCCGTAATGTCATCTGTACTGGTGTATACAGCCACCACCATACTGTGTTTATATAGAACTTGTCATAATCTGAAATTTACTTTATGGAGCATTTGTATAAATGGTTCATATATATTATACAGTTAGTGGTAGTATTGCATTATATATTTTGTTGTGTATCCATACATGTATGTAAAAGAAAGGATATACAGCTCATGATGAAATTGTCATTATCTGTGACAGCCATCACAAAACAATGAGATGTAAATAACAAAACAATGTAAGTAACAAAACAATGAGATGTAAATAACAAAACAATGAGATGTAAATAACAAAACAATGTAAGTAACAAAACAATGAGATGTAAATAACAAAACAATGAGATGTAAATAACAAAACAATGTAAGTAACAAAACAATGAGATGTAAATAACAAAATAATGAGATGTAAATAACAAAACAATGTAAATAACAAAACAAGGAGATGCAAATAACAAAACGATGTAAATAACAAAACAAGGAGATGCAAATAACAAAACAATGTAAATAACAAAAGCAACGAGATGTAAATAACAAAACAATGAGATGTAAATAACAAAACAAAACAATGTAAATAACAAAACAATGTAAATAACAAAACAATGTAAATAACAAAAGCAACGAGATGTAAATAACAAAACAATGATATAACAAAACAAAACAGATGTAAATAACAAAACAATGAGATGTAAATAACAAAACAATGTAAATAACAAAACAATGAGATGTAAATAACAAAAAAATGAGATGTAAATCACAGAACAATGAGATGTAAATAACAAAATGATATAAATAACAAAACAATGTAAATAACAAAACAATGAGATGTAAATAACAAAATGATATAAATAACAAAACAATGTAAATAACAAAACAATGAGATGTAAATAACAAAATGATGTAAATAACAAAACGATGTCAATAACAAAATGATGAGATGTAAATAACAAAACAATGTAAATAACAAAACAATGAGATATTATTTATATGTGATATTTAGGAGTAAGTGGGATATGAACAAGGAAGATATTAAGAGAAGGACGTTCCCACCCCATCAAAGTGACTTGCCAGGTAGTAATGGAAACACCACTGCCTTACTCTGATTACTCTAAATCATTTTATGTTTGTTTTATAAAAAAATCTTTGTGAAACAGTATTCCACATTTTGTATAAAAGGCATTTCTTATACAAAAAGCTTCATTCCTATACATCTGATGATGCATCTTAGATATGTAGTTACAGACTTCAGAAAAAAAAGATAACAAGAGATGTTTTAAAAGTTGTATACTTAATTTAAGATCATGCATGTAGAATTTTGTCATGGGAAGTGTGTTTGTTTTATAAATGACTGCTGGGATTTATAGAAGAATTTGTAAACAAGTTCAATTGATCCTTGGGTTCCAAGTATTGTGTAATATGCGGTTCACAATCTAGAACGTCCTATATCAACTGGCATTTATCAGTTTTATTCAGAATGCTTTATGTCTGCCTAGCATGAACACAATGTATTTAGCTTTTTTTCTATATTGTCCCTACAATGAAGTTGTTACAGTGTTTAGTTACAAGGGCATTCATGCATGGATTGTTTCGTCACTCTAGTCATATCATATTTTCCTGGACTCAAACTAAAAACAAGAATATCAAAATGGAGTTCCTGTTTCAGGATATGAAAGACAAGATCATCAGTCATTATTATATGTAGACAAAAATTATCATCACTTCATTTCTCAACAGATTACCGTAATAGGTAGTATCTATGATTCTGGCTACCAGTGCAATTTGCAGTGGCGGTTTCCTAGCAGCAGGAAAATTGTTTGTCCTGTTTTACAGCAGGAAACAAGCATTTCCCCTGTCCAAGAACTGTGCTATTTTCACAAAATAAAGAAAACATCGAAAATATCTTCCCAATTGTAAAGAAAATATTACTATATTTTTCCAATCAATACAAACTGCTGTAAAATTCAGGTAGAAATAAAACACTAGAAGATGAATTACTTGAATATTGGAGGTAAATTTCATTTTGCCTGAGAAATACATATATTATTGACGGAATGCTAATAAAAGTTGTGTCCAACAACAATTCCAGTGAACTAGCTCCACAAACACCGGAGTTATGTATATGCTCACTACAGTTTTACAATATAAATTATCTATAGCAACACTATTCCTAATAATCTACAGGTGAGTTCTTAATCATGAAGTGTGTGCTGTAAGGTAAAGTTCCTTGATTGCTAAATGTTTTAAAAAATATCCACCCACTCAGCTGGTGATGCATGTTTGATAGACCTCCATATATGTACATATATATATACAAGTTCAAGCATGAACTTACCTATGAATGGCTGTATGTTAATAATTTATTACATTCTTTACCCCACTCAATCAAAAAATCAAAATTGCTAGCTGACGATGGTCCCATCATTACTTTATACGGATGAACCTTTTCACGCGAGATAAATATAGGTCAGCTTTTTATAAATGTGTCACTGCTTTTATGAAATTAAATATTTTGAAGAAAAAAAACTTCAGTCACGAATTTGAAATTTCTTGATAAACAGGGCACTTATACACTTAAAAAATGATGTTTGATCTGTCTATTACTTTCATGTTAATTCCATTTAATTTACATCCGGATGTTCGATGGAAAACTCTCCACATGATTGGACTTAAGTAAACATTTACATATACATATACAATATGATTTAAACGTATAATGATTTCAGTGTTACCATATCATGTATGTTCTGTCTTTGAATGAAATAATGACATACATTTTACCAGGATATTTTAAGAACTTCCTATTCAATTTTCTGGTTTTAGGAAATATAGCTGTCTGGCAAAACTTAAACACAAACTAGGTGGGGTTGGAATGTCTGGTTCCATGTACAGATTATTGTATTATACACAGATGGTGTGTTGTGCTGTAGCTAGGCCACACTCTAACCATCATTTCTAGGTGAAAGGCTACATTATTGAATGTTTTTAAATGTAATTTCAAGTGATAATTGCTAAATTTCACTGATTATGACATTTTTATTAAAAAGTGTGTGCGTTACCAACAGGTGTGCAACATGTCATATTTCAGTCACGATAACATTCACCTTTTGGTCAGATCAATTTCTTAAAAATATGTTTGGATAGAATTTCACCCTGTAAACGTTTCCAAAAAAATCCGTTTGTGATGATTTTGTTTGTAATGCAGTTGATGTTTAGAAGTTAAGTAGATTAGAACAGGTCTGTAATAACATTGTTTTCAATTGATTTTAAGCTTTCAGATTGTGGAACATCTGCGCCCTGCTTTACTTGTTTACTGACAGAGGCTGCTGTTTGTGCCAGACGGTTTAAGTCAGTCACCTCTTTCGGCTAGCAAACCTTTGTTTCTGTTATTGTAACATAATTTTTCTTGTGTTTTACAGGAGTGAGTCGCTCTCAGTGTAGGGCACACACGCAAGGGAAAGAGACAACACCATATAGGTATGTAACTGAAGGCACACAGACAAGGGAAAGGGGTAACACCATACTGGTATGTAACTGAAGGCACACAGACAAGGGAAAGGGGTAACACCATACTGGTATGTAACTGAAGGCACACAGAGAAGGGAAAGGGGTAACACCATATGGGTATGTAACCGAAGGCACACAGACAAGGGAAAGGGGTAACACCATACTGGTATGTAACTGAAGGCACACAGACAAGGGAAAGGGGTAACACCATACTGGTATGTAACTGAAGGCACACAGAGAAGGGAAAGGGGTAACACCATATGGGTATGTAACCGAAGGCACACAGACAAGGGAAAGGGGTAACACCATACTGGTATGTAACTGAAGGCACACAGACAAGGGAAAGGGGTAACACCATATAGGTATGTAACTGAAGGCACACAGACAAGGGAAAGGGGTAACACCATACTGGTATGTAACTGAAGGCACACAGACAAGGGAAAGGGGTAACACCATATAGGTATGTAACTGAAGGCACACAGACAAGGGAAAGGGGTAACACCATACTGGTATGTAACTGAAGGCACACAGACAAGGGAAAGGGGTAACACCATATAGGTATGTAAATGAAGGCACACAGACAAGGGAAAGGGGTAACACCATATAGGTATGTAGCTGAAGGCACACAGACAAGGGAAAGGGGTAACACCATATAGATATGTAGCTGAAGGCACACAGGTAAGGGAAAGAAAAAAATTGTACAGATATGTATTTTAGAGCACACATAAGCAGAAGAAACAATCAAAATGAAGCTCTTGTAACACAACCAGTAGAAGACATGAGTGTAATGTTTCGATGACAACATGGTCACCTTCACCAAATGATCATCCAAGGATGAAGGTTACCTTGTACTCATCAAAACCTCACTCTAATCTTCTACTGGTTATGTTATATGAACTTTTATTCTTTTGACAAAATTTTATCAAAATGTTAAAAGAAAAAAGGAGACAACTATTATACAGATAGGTATGTAAGGTCACTCAGGTGAAGGGAAGAGACACTATATATATCATACAGGTATGTATTTTACGGCAGTGGTATCAGTAGAAGAGACAACATTATACAGATATGACATTTTAGGAGAGACAATATTGTACAGGTATGACATCTTAGGAGAGACAATATTGTACAGGTATGACATTTTAGGAGAGACAATATTGTGCAGGTATGACATTTTAGGAGAGACAATATTGTACAGGTATGACATATTAGGAGAGACAATATTGTACATGTATGACATATTAGGAGAAGTGACAATATTGTACAGGTATGACATATTAGGAGAAGAGACACTATTGTAGAGGTATGACATATAAGGAGAAGAGACAATATTGTACAGGTATGATATATTAGGAGAGACAATATTGGACAGGTATGACATATTAGAAAAAATAGATAATATTGTACAGGTATGACATAATAGGAGATGAGACAATATTATACAGGTATGACATATTAGGAGAGACAATATTGTACAGAGGTATGGCATATTAGGAGAGACAATATTGTACAGGTATGACATATTAGGAGACGAGACAATATTATACAGGTATGACATATTAGGAGAGACAATATTGTACAGGTATGACATATTAGGAGAGACAATATTGTACAGGTATGACATATTAGGAGACGAGACAATATTATACAGGTATGACATATTAGGAGAGACAATATTGTACAGGTATGACATATTAGGAGAGACAATATTGTACAGGTATGACATATTAGGAGAAGAGACAATATTGTACAGGTATGACATATTAGGAGAAGTGACAATATTGTAAAGGTATGACATATTAGGAGAGACAATATTGTACAGGTATGACATATTAGGAGAGACAATATTGTACAGGTATGATATATTAGGAGAATTGACAATATTGTACAGGTATGTATTTTAGGACAGACATATTGTAGGAGTTTTAGGGCACAAACAAGGAGAAGAGACGATGTTTGATGTTAATAAAGGATACTATTTTTAGTGACTAGTTAGTTGTCATTAATGTTTTTGCAGTCATTTGGATTAAAAGCTGTATATGTCAAAGTAAAACATGATTAATGAATTAAGGAAATCTTTTTACAGTGAGATATCCAACCAAGCTAGTGAGACCATTACCATCTGAACAACTAGAAATACAACATCAGGTAAGTTAGGATTCTTGTTTGCCTGAATATAAGTCTTGTGTTGGTGTATCTTGGTAGGGTGGGGGGAGGAGTAGGGAAGACATTTTTATACACATGCTCAAACAATGTATTGAATTCTTTTGCTTTCTGGATGAATTTTTCTTCGTATGTTTAAAACGATACGTTTTACAGATTGGCTGTTAGTAATACTGAATAGTGCATGATTCACTGCTGGCCTATAATAGGATTTGTTTTAGGGTAACTCCAGATATAGTTTGATCAAGAAGAGTGATGCAGGCTACTTGGACCTTTTGTTAAATGTGGCAATGAAAATAATAACAATTATTCATAATGAATTGACATCAACTTGTTTCTAGAAGTTAGAAATGTTATGTATCTTGTAGTCATCAAGTCAGTCACTAGTAAGTCAGCAAACTTTGATTTACTTCCTAGTAGTGACTAGTAAGTCAGCAAACTTTGATTTACTTCCTAGTAGTGACTAGTAAGTCACCAAACTTTGATTTATTTTCTAATAGTCACTAGTTAGTCGCCAAACTTTGATTTATTTTCTAATAGTCACTAGTAAGTCACCAAACTTTGATTTATTTTCCAATACCCGGTAGTGACTAGTTAGTCACCAAACTTTGATTTATTTTCTAATAGTGACTAGTTAGTCACCAAACTTTGATTTATTTTCTAGTAGTCACTTGTTTGTCACCAAACTTTGATTTATTTTCTAGTAGTGACTAGTTAGTCACCAAACTTTGATTTATTTTCTAGTAGTGACTAGTTAGTCACCAAACTTTGATTTATTATCTAACAGTCACTTGTTAGTCGCCAAACTTTGATTTATTTTCTAGTAGTGACTAGGTAGTCACCAAACTTTGATTTATTTTCTAGTAGTCACTAGTTAGTCACCAAACTTTGATTTATTTTCTAGAAGTTACTAGTGAGTCGTCAAAATTTGATTTATTTTCTAGTAGTGACTAGTTAGTCGCCAAACTTTGATTTATTTTCTAATAGACACTAGTAAGTCACCAAACTTTGATTTATTTTCTAGAAGTTACTAGTGAGTCGCCAAAATTTGATTTATTTTCTAGTAGTGACTAGGTAGTTGACAAAACATGATGTATTTTTTATAAAAAGTGAAAAGTTTTAATCGTTAGTCACAAGATAGTTAATTTCCAACCCAGAATAAGATACTCATTTGATTGACATCTGAGCCTTATATCAGTAGGTTGATTGCTAATCAAGATCAGCATCAAATCATTTAACATGGCAACAACACACTTTGAACAAATATAGATGTCACTGGTGATTTTAGTTAACCATAATGACCATCAGGCTGTGGGTAAGGTTGAAGGCCCCAGGGGTAGGGATTCCTGGTCATCTGTGTCTCCAGATAACTAGTCTCTAGATAGCTGATAAGGCGGGGCATGTGATATCAATCATCACATGTCGTACTCTGATAGGTCACTGTGGATTTACCTGTAGAAATTATACCTGTGGGATGTTCACTGTCACATCACTATACAGATACATATGTTAGACAGTGGTTTAAATACAGCGACATCATGTACAAGTACCTGTAAGTATTACCTGTACAGTAGGTGTATTGTGATATGGTGACATCATACTTGATAAATACTTATTCAATGGCCTAGTAGGTATAGCTTATGGACTCAGGTGAAGATTATTTCATGTGAACTTTTGTCAACAATCAGCTGGAGTACTTAATAAGTTACTAAGCTTCGTGATCTTTTCTCATGATTTTTTGTTTTAATATTACAAAAATTTTAAATGTTTAACTCAGCACTTTTAGATAAAGCTTTGTTTTGTAAAGGAAGTAAATTTTGTTCTTAACTTTAAAACCTTTCAGATAGTTATTAACTAATGTTGTTTTATACCTCACATTAGGTTATAAACTGTTTATTATGACTGTGTGATTTCATAGGAGTTTTAGTCTAAAAAATCAACTGAATTCTAATATAAACTGTTGTTAATTGCTAACACAGATGATACAGTAATGTGTTAAGTTATATAAACTGTCGTTGAATTGCTAACACAGATGATACAGTAATGTGTTAAGTTATATAAACTATCGTTGAATTGCTGACACAGATGATACAGTAATGTGTTAAGTTATATAAACTATCGTTGAATTGCTGACACAGATGATACAGTAATGTGTTAAGTTATATAAACTATCGTTGAATTGCTGACACAGATGATACAGTAATGTGTTAAGTTATATAAACTATCGTTGAATTGCTGACACAGATGATACAGTAATGTGTTAAGTTATATAAACTATCGTTGAATTGCTGACACAGATGATACAGTAATGTGTTAAGTTATATAAACTATCGTTGAATTGTGTTAACTTATATAAACTACAATTGACACAGTAATGTGTTAAGTTATATAAACTATCGTTGAATTGCTGACACAGATGATACAGTAATGTGTTAACTTATATAAACTATCGTTGAATTGCTGACACAGATGATACAGTAATGTGTTAAGTTATATAAACTATCGTTGAATTGCTGACACAGATGATACAATAATGTCTTAAGTTGTCTTGTTGTAGATCTTGGTAATGAGTGTTTCTTATCACTGTATTTTAGATGGAAAATTCTAGTTGGACCGTTTTCATCTTTTCTCTTAGCCTTATCAGAAATAAAAAGCCATTAGACTGCAGTCTGTTTGAGGTTCCATTGCATGTTACTTTTATTTCTAGAAAGAAAAAGTACTTGATCATTTTCAAATATATTTTGTAGGTTCACTTGTTCCCATGTTGTTCCTTTTAATTTTAAAATTTTTGGAAAAATAAGATGGCTGGTAATTTTTTGACAGTTGAAGATTTTTAAAAATAATTGAGATGTACTGGGTAGCTTATTTTTAGGTTTCCTAGGTCCATTTGATGTTAGTTTTGTGTATATATTTATATACAGTTTGATGATGATTTGAAGAAAAAGATGGCTAACCTGGAGCCATCTTCGATTTTGACTTTTTGGTTTTATTACCTAACTTGGCCTGAATTGAGCTTATGCTGTGGTGCGGTGTCTGTTGTCTGTCTTCTGGCATCAGACCACTTCTCCTCAATAATCAACAGACCAAATGTTATGGTATTTGGCTAGCATGTTGCTTTGCTGGGATGAAGCCTGACAAAGCTTGCAAAAAAAAAAAAAAAACAAATGGGAAAAAAAACCTTGACTTAGGTCACAAGGTGAAATATTTTTAAACCTGACTAACCAAAATGCGCGGGATCATGGTATTTGGCTTATAGGTTCCTAGGATAAAACTTGAAAAAGTTTGGGAAAAGAAATGACCATGACCCTTATTTAAGGTCACAGGGGTCAAATTTTTTTGAAACTTTTTAACAACTTCTTCTAATTCACAAAAAGGCCCAGAAGCATGATATTTGACTGAAAGGTTTCTGAGATGAAACATAAAAAAGTTTTCAAAAAAGAAATGACCTTGATGATGTTCAAGGTCACATGGGTGAAACTGTCAAAACTAGTGAATGACTACCTGTGGTAAATCAAAAGTCCAGGAAACAGGATATTTTGGTAAATGGTTTTTCCAGTTCAAAGCCCAATAAATTTGGAGAAAAAAGTAAACAACATTTGCTTATAACTTAAATTATAACTGTCACTGATTAGAGTTGAATGATGTAAGCTGTTTGTTGTGGAAATTGGTAAAAACTTATCAGATATGCCCATTTTGAATACCAATGGTGTATGTGTTAATGGATTTGTGATGAATACTAATTCTATTTTTGATGCAGGGCTATTGTGGGTCTTGTTATTGCTAGTTTTAAGAAAGAAGAAGTCCCAAAGACATCCCTGTAGATTCCATGTATAGATTAACCATGTAAACATGATTATTGTTCACTTACTAGTCAATATAATCAGGAGAAGAGAATAGGAAAAATGCTTTATAGAACCAGTAAAAATGAGACGGTTTTGATGTGTCGTGATCCCTCAAAGCTTTATAGAACCAGTAAAAATGAGACGGTTTTGGTGCTTTATGATCTCTCAAAGCATTATAGAACCAGTAAAAATGAGACGGTTTTGGTGCGTCGTGATCCCTCAAAGCTTTATAGAACCAGTAAAAATGAGATGGTTTTGGTGTACATGATCTCTCAAAGCTTTATAGAACTAGTAAAAATGAGACGGTTTTGGTGTACATGGTCCCTCAAAGCATTATAGAACCAGTAAAAATGAGATGGTTTTGGTGTACATGATCCCTCAAAGCTTTATAGAACCAGTAAAAATGAGATGGTTTTGGTGCGTCGTGATCCCTCAAAGCTTTATAGAACCAGTAAAAATGAGACGGTTTTGGTGCGTCGTGATCCCTCAAAGCTTTATAGAACCAGTAAAAATGAGACGGTTTTGGTGCGTCGTGATCCCTCAAAGCTTTATAGAACCAGTAAAAATGAGACGGTTTTGGTGCGTCGTGATCCCTCAAAGCTTTATAGAACCAGTAAAAATGAGATGGTTTTGGTGCGTCGTGATCCCTCAAAGCTTTATAGAACCAGTAAAAATGAGACGGTTTTGGTGTACATGATCCCTCAAAGCTTTATAGAACCAGTAAAAATGAGACGGTTTTGGTGTACATGGTCCCTCAAAGCTTTATAGAACCAGTAAAAATGAGATGGTTTTGGTGTACATGGTCCCTCAAAGCTTTATAGAACCAGTAAAAATGAGATGGTTTTGGTGTACATGATCCCTCAAAGCTTTATAGAACCAGTAAAAATGAGATGGTTTTGGTGTACATGGTCCCTCAAAGCTTTATATAACCAGTAAAAGTGAGATGGTTTTGGTGTACATGGTTCCTCAAAGCTTTATAGAACCAGTAAAAATGAGATGGTTTTGGTGTACATGATCCCTCAAAGCTTTATAGAACCAGTAAAAATGAGATGGTTTTGGTGCGTCGTGATCCCTCAAAGCTTTATAGAACCAGTAAAAATGAGACGGTTTTGGTGCGTCGTGATCCCTCAAAGCTTTATAGAA